AGGTTTTTTTTAGAGACGTTTGTAGGGACTTCCGCAAAAAATAGTTGGGAACACTGATTACAGTGTACTATTCGCAACTCCAGCAAAACGGTCGCCACCAAGCGGGAAAACCGGGAACCAGCCGGTCCAGGTCGCTCCGCGCCCCTCCGCGTCTCTGGTGGCTTTCGCGGAGACGTGTAGTCGGCGCGGTGGCGAACAATTAATGTAATTTGACGAAGGTCCGAATATTTCTTAACTTTGCCTGAGTGATCATTAGTGTGGTGAGGCCTCAATAAATTGTTTCCTTCCATCACGTGTTTGAAAGCCCGTTTACTCCACAACACACGGTCGCGTGCTTTCGATTTCTTGGATGGAAAGGAATCACGGAAAAACGTTTTGATTTCTTGTCTGTCTCGAATCACATTCAAAGTGACGACTACTTGGTAGCTGATAAGTGGCTTCTTTATAAGGATGTAGAACAGTGAACTGAGGATGACAAACGAGGCATTGCACTGGAGGAAACATCAATGTTGCAGTCAAGTGAATGGGAAGGTTCGATAGCTGCTTTTCTTGAGTTTGGTTGTGTTCGGTTAGCTTCAAGATTGAGCCACTCACGCCGGTCGGGGCGTTGGCTATTCATCTTGGCTGCTTTTTGCCGAAAAAGCTTCTGGACCATACTGAAGGTGTTTGGCTAATTTCGCAGTTACTTGATTCAGGAAAGCCTGCTCGCTGCAAATGATGAATGAGGGAAATTATCTGTTTTCAAAAGGTGGGGGACGAGTCTCGCGACGTAAGATGCTGTCACGGCATTTTGACCTATCGCGCCTCCAATATTTATATTACGAGGATGTCGAAGCCAGCAGCATTATACGTCTACATTGGTCAGGTTGACCGGCCAAAAAAAAATACTAATTTTTTTCCGTTCAGGATTCGAAGCAAAGTTCAATGCAGAGGGGTTCTGCGTGAATGTTCGATGAAGACTCTCTTCAGTTTGTCTCCGTGCTGCCAGCTATAGAACCATTTGGCTAAGTCTAAGTAGTATCTCTCTGCCTCTCAAATATACTTTTATTCAGCAGCTCACCTAATAGCTAGTCAACTAAGCTCATATTTCAACCCGAAGATATACTAATATCACCTTAGGGGGACATACTACGTAATGTAATACATAACCCGCTCGTCAAAATGACTTCTCGCTAAAATCTGGATTGAAATACGAGTATCAGCTGCTTAGTGGGGCGCCAGCGGGTTAACATGGTCCTTGACTCAAGAAGCGCTTGCTTAATTTTCGTAATTTTCCTGCAGCCTGTGTTGTTGACCGAGCAGACGACTGGAGCTGTTTCTTAAACGCGGATACGCACAAAGGTTCGATTTCGCGGAAAGATAAGTCGCATGGTAGAGGCATGCGAGTTAGTTGAAAAGTTACTTTCTGTGGAACGATTCTGTAGTCATTGCCGCTTTCCTTAGATGATCAAAACTGATTAGTATATTACCGCCTCTCCGGAGCCCATAGTTTCGGTTTTGAACGAAATCTCCGAAACGAAAGTTTGACATGAAAAGAACAAAAAACACCGGCAAAACAAAACTATGCTTTGCAAGTTTATCTGGGCCGGCTACACTTAACCGTCTCAGTTCAGACACCTATAAAATTGGGCATTAAACAAAATAAAATCTGTTAAATTGAACGCGCCACCTGTTCAGGCGGCCCGGCCGAGCCGACGCGACCGGGACTCAGCCGCCATGTTTGTTTGGTGGTGGCGCCCCCTATAGGTCGCTGGAGTCGCGAATAATACTTGGGTAGTGTTGGGACCGGAGGGGCTCGCAGGTGCGCGCATGCGCGCCTGCACGCGCGAAAATATCAATCTGGTGCCGCTTTGGTGGAGTGCACATAGGATTTCTGATAGAGCCGCGGCCTGCCAGCGGTCGTACCGCGGCATCAATTACGCTGCGGCACGATCGTTAGCAACATGATGCTTCAATGTATTGGACGGTACAAGCTACATTACCCTTCCTTTATTGCAAGTTGTTTCAGCGTAGAATTAGCTGCGACTTTCGGTTTGTCGGATGGTGTGCATTTTAAATGAAATGCCCATTTCCTTGATCGCAAAGGCCGAACATTAGATATTTGAAAGGAATATCTAAAACTGGGAAGCAGTTTTTTTTTTTTTTTTTTTCCTATCTTATTTTATAATGGAACGAAACGGCACATACTAAAGTCCGAGATTGTTTTAGTATGTCTTTAATACCCCAGGTTAACTTCTCTGTCTTCTTTTCTGCCAGCCTTCTTTTTCTTGACCTTAATCAGCTCGCTTCACCTGTCACTCATTCTTGCGTTCATTTATGCGTCGAACCACCCAAGCGACGGTCGCAAAGGGGTGAGAATCTTTTATTTCTTCATGGCTGCCATGACCATCCGAGGACCACCCGACGTGCACTTGTAAGAAACGGCTTATAAGCCGTGACAATTTTTATCACGCGTGTTAACATTGAACTTAAGTCCAAAAACTGAGACAACGTGGGCTGAACAAGTAATGCTTTACAAGATTCAAAGAAAACAAGCAACTATTTCACATCATTTTGAGCAGAAAACATGAGCACACGTAAATCAGGCAAGGAAAAAGTTGTAATAGCTTACAGCACGGCATTTAAATAATGGTTGCAATGTGCAGCGCATTATCGTCTTGAGAGTAAACCATCTAAAACCCACACGCTCATAACAATACATTTAACCGAGAGCTGCTTTCTGAAAACCAGATAGGTCTCGCCGGAGCTGGATATTCGAAGGGAAGGACCCATGGTTCCACAGGGGGCGTATCTAGTTCACGCAGACATATAGGATTTTTTTCTTTTATTTTTTACAGAACTTTACATATTTTACAAAAAAAAAAGGATGTGGCAGGTATGTGGTTGCCGTTTTTCGTTATATCTGTAGGGCTCGGTGGACAATGAATGGGTGAATAACCGTTGCAATGTTTTATAATTAACCAAAATCTGTTAGTTAACTTGTTTATTAACGGCTTAATTGGCCATGGTGCAATTGCAGTTTTAGAAAGAGTCATTATTAAAGGCAAGCACAATTTCGACAATTCGCGAAAAGGCAACGAGGTTAGCGAAATTTATTGTAAAATTTAACTTGTCTTCGCTTGATTCAGAAACCGCGTTATGAAAATAATACATAGAATAGTGACTTAGTTGTCTTGATGTGTGGCGCCGGCGAGTCCACCGAAGACATGCTGTCAAGTTAGTGACGAGGGGACAGAAACAACCCCCCCCCCCCCCCCCTGTCTCATTCTTCTACGCATCAATATCATCACAACCTCATTCGTGCTTTTTTAATTAAGCGAAGGCAAAACTTTAGCGATGAATATCCCAAAGCTCGTTGTTTGTTTGCGAACTTTCTAAATTGGGTTGGCCTTTAATAATGGCTCCCTTTAAAGCTGCAATTGCAACATGGCCCATTAAACCATTCATTAAAAAGTTAATTACCATATTTGGCTAAGTAATAAAAATATTGCAACGGTTATTCACCCATGTAGGGTCTGCCGAGATCTATGGATGCACTATCGGGGAAAAATGAAATGCGAACAGAGAAGCGCGCGGCTCGCGGTACAGGCTGCGCCGCCTGGAAGTGAGCCTAGGAGCGAGGGTGCGTGGCCTACTTCGATGTGTTTACGCCCCTCGATTGGCGCTCCCCTAGCTTCGGCAGTGCGCCCCTCGGTGCGCTGAAAGCTGCCACCGCTATCTTTGCCTGCTCGGCGAGTGCGGCGAGCTTCTTTGCACCGCACGCGCTGAGCCAGCAAAGATAGCGGTGGTAGCTTTCAGCGCACTAAGAGGCGCGCTGCTGAAGCTTGGGGAGCGCAGAGGGAGGGGCGTGAACACGTCGGAGTAGGCCACGCACCCTCGCTTTTAGGCTCACCTCCAGGCGGCGCAGCCTGTACCGTGAGCCACGCGCTCCTCTGTTCGCATTTCATTTTTCCCCGAAAGTACAGTGCAGACGACATACACGTATTTACTACCTCCTTTTAATTAATTCTGTTAAGTTCTGTTAAGAATAAAAAAAAATATCCTGCATAAGCATGAACTCACAACATTGGACATGCCTGGGACGTAGCCATTTCCTCTTTTCGATTATGGGTGTAAGAAGCTTTTAAGTTGGTTGTTTGAAAACTCAGATAACAAAATCTGATATTCCTCTCGCACCCTTGTGCTTGCAACGTATTGATATAGGTTATCGTTCACTGTACAAAAACTTTCTAAAAAAGCTTCCCAATAAAACAAGTGTAAAATGACAAGAATTGAAGGCACCCTAATGCATAATCAGCAAACAGGAGCAAGCCAAGAACGAAGACTATTCTTTGTATGCTTTGCTTTAACGCACGTATAGACACTGAGTTCATTCCCTTGGTAGAACTTCGGGTCATAGTCGATGGAAGGCTCAAAACGGCACAGGTAGTTACCCACTACTCGTGCGACCTTCGTGAGCTTCGAGTGTGCATGCCCAGCCAAAGTATCAGGAAAAGTCACAGGCGTGTGCTGGATACGCACCCAAGCTACGACAGAAGGTCAGAAGAGAGTCCTGGAGGGGGAACATTCAAAAGATGACATGCCGTCCTCATCCCTGTCAGTGACTATAGTAGCAAAAAGAGAGTGGACCACGAATGTTCAGCGCAGTCAACAGCTTGTCCAACTTAGGCACTCACGATAGACAATGTTTAACGCTGTCCTTATGAAGTTTTCCTGTGGTCAAACAATCAGATTAGTTATTTTCCAGTAAATCGGTGAAAATTAAGTGACTATTGTCCACTGGGCACAAAAACACCCTCGTGCTACAGCTCTGTAGTTTTCCGCTTGCTTTGACGCGGGCACTGAAACATCAACTGAATGCATTCAATTCACTTGTGCCAGGAAGACACTTTCAGGACACTTCCTTGCAATGTGCACTGCATCACGGTATATAAACCTAGCATCGCTTCCTTGCATCACACACCTCTGTACATTCTGCACTAAATAACGGAAAACCAACCAAGAATCATTTCCCTGCATTTCATTCCCATGCTAAGCATTTCGTTGCGGTGCGCCAACCTAGCATCGTTCCCTTGCATCACATGACCATCTATGCTTTGGACTGCATGACGGTGCACCAATCTGGAATATCTCCCTTGCATCACATACCCATGCTGTGTAATGCGTCACAGTGCACCAGCCTAACGTATCTCCTTTGCATCCCATTGCCAAGTACATGAACTGCACAGCTTCCTTTTCAGACGCATGCTTCTCTGTAATGATGCTCGTAGCTTTTGGGCGGGAGTCTTGGTCTTGCAGGGTTTCTTCCTCGACAACCAGGATTTCCTAGTCAGGAGAACCTTGCGCAGATACCTGCATTGAAGGCAACGTCCGTCTGAAAGAAGAAGAACCCTCAATGTAAAGTCAAAGGTACTAAAGCTGCTAGTTTTATTTGTTTAATTTTCAAAAAGCACGTCTAGTTGTGTATGTAAAAATATGAGGGAGTGTGAAACAAAACATTTCGCTAATCCTGTTCACGTACGTTGTCAATTTAAATAAAAAAAAGCTTACAATTACCTCGTGTTATTCCCCTTCCGCTGCACTCATTGCTGTAGATGACGTCCTCCTGGTTGCAAAGCTTCCTTTGAAGTCCCTCGGTGAGGTCCGTTGTTGATATTTCTGTACTTGAAAGTGCCCCAACGCAAAGAGGGAGAGATGCAGCCCGTCGAAGTGCCTCTTCAGCTTCGTGAGTGGTTCTCACGGCAGTGTCATCTACGAAGTGGCCCTGAAGGTATACTTGGCATACCACATCGGGTAAGTTGTCCGAACAAAAGAACACCGCCCTTTCGATGCTGATCTTGTTAGATTTTGGCTCGAGAACAGTCTTCAAATAAGCCACACCGTCGAAGTTGCAAAACTTGTGAACAGCCCAGTAAGGAGTTGGCACATTCAGAGAGTCTAGTGCGTCGCGATCGATGCCTTGTGGGGTCACGGCAGGAGCTTCGCTGTTCACCACTGGTGACAACGGGTCAGTTTTCCGAGCGAGCCCCGAACGCTCTGCAACGATGGGCTCTGGTGAACTTGCCCTCTGCTTCCTTTCCTCTCGTCCTGCGGGAAGGTCATCACCCAGGTCCTGGGGTACACTTGGCAGCAGAGTCGGTACCGCGTCTGGCGTAAGCGCTGGGTGTCCACGAGGGATCCTCACTTCCTTTCCGCCGATGATGTGGACGTAGTCTCGAAGGATGAAGCGGGGCTCGAAGTGCAGCTCGCAGACGGCGCTTGTTTCTTCAAGACCCTTGTCTGATCGCTGCAGATTTTTCTCCCAAAGATCTCTTTTAGCTCTGTCCTTTGGAACGCCGAAAAGGGACGCCGTTTTCACTCCTTTTACTCGGATGAGACCCGTTTTGCAACCAGGTGCAGAGCAAGAGTTCTGTCGCTGTTTCGCCAACGGCATTTCGGCACTACCCTTACGCGTTCCCCATCGGCAAAATCATAACACAAGATTCAAAGCATAATACAATCGAACACACAGAACTATGAAGTCGTGGTCCCGACGCGCGCACCGCCATTGTGTCGTACCGCAGGAAAAGGCTACAAGCGCGAGCTCCTTGCTCTACGGCCCAACTCGGCGGCACAAGCTCTCGTGCACCAAGGGCAGCTGCCAACGCTATGAGCTCGCGCAAAGCCGCCTGTAGCTTTCGCTGCGGTACAACATAAGGTGAAACGGAGTGTATATATCGTGGTACCGACACATGCATCGCTCAAAAGACGGGCTGCGCGATTTTTTTTTTTTTTTGATAACTCGACTACAGCGTTGCCTTACGAGCTCCCGTTGCCGAGCCGCTCCAGTCCCAACACTACCCAAGTATTCTAGTTAGGGGTGTCGCGAACTTTTGTCGAACCAGATTTTTAGGTCGAACTTTTGGGGTTCGACTGTGTCGAACCGGTTCGACTGTGTCGAACCGGTTCGACCACTGGGTTCGACGAACCTTCGAACTTTTCACCAAATTCGACCGGTTCGACTTTGTGGACAGTGTGGCCAGACCTTGATACAAGCATGTCTAGGTTTGGAGAATGTTTTTTTTAAGAAAAGGGTTATTTTATTTTATAAACAGTTGCAATTAAAAGAAACTAATTCTAATCACTGAAAAGGTTAATAACTTAATTTTTTTGTACTGTATTAAGTGAAATAACCAATCGGCGCTGCCCTTAATTTATCCCTTAGCCATTACCATCCAATCCAAAGCCAACTGGCCAGCCTGTCGCGCATGCGCACACGAGTCGAACCTCAATACAAGGTTCGTCGAATTTTCCACTAAAAGGTCGAAAAAGTCGAACCTGGTCGAACTCGAACCTCGGCCGGTTCGCGACACCCCTAATTCTAGTACACTGTAATATTATTTAAAAAAAAAACTGGGCGACTGTACGTGCCTTGGTACGTACAAGTGTACAGGACTTCGCGCGCGGCCTTTTGAGATAAACACACGAACAAAAAAAACAAGAAAAAAAAAAGAAACACGCTGCATAGTTTTGTTAATAATGCAAGCGAACCTAAAAATGAGCCTGGAACAAATTATTATCAAAATGTGTTAAAGTTATTTATGTTATTTTGGGCCACAAGGAGCAGAAGGCTGAAGGAGGTGCGAAGCATGTCTCCTGGTCTAGCAACGATGGTAAATAAACTTTTATTTATTATTATTTTTTTTAATTCGTTAAAAGTCAAATCCGAAGCCAGCTCGGGAGAACTGACCAAGGAGGAAACCAACGAGGTAGGAGGAAACTGACACTTGGCATGGTACGATTCGTCTGTTCGCGGTTTCGCTGATGTAGAGACTTTTTGCTCCTGCTAGACCTGCTGCATTATGACCACAAACAAATACAGCATTCTATTACCGACGTACAACGAGCGGGAAAACCTTCCGATTGTGGTATGGCTCATCGACCAGTATATGTCGAAAAGGTAAGGGATGTGGTTGGACCTGTCCGCTTTGCCAACATCGTCGCTGAACTTAGCAAGCACAACATCAAGATAATTAGAACAGCTATCAACGCCTGAAAGCTCTCTTGAGAGAAAATTCTACGATGTTCTGGCGTACTTATTGTAAAAGTAAAAGCGCCAAACAAATAGAGAAAACGACAAATATGCAAAGGCAGGGAGTTGTTTACCCAGGATTGCCAATCTGGGAGGGTGTTACGAATTTCTGGGAGCGCTTCAAGGGGGGGAGGGAGTTTGGTTAATTACCCGGGGGGGGGGGGGGGGGAGGGGAGGGGGAGGGGGGAGGAGGAGGAGAGGTTGATTAATTACTGTGCAAGATTCTGGAGTTTACACCAACAAACATTACGTATTTACAGCTTCTTGCATGTCTGACGACGTCCACATTTTGTATGGTTCCTTAATAAGCGCGCCCCACTAGAGTGAAAAACAACACCGATAGACAGCCTGTTTGTTTGTCAGAGGCCGCCGTCCCACCTGGTGGATGCGACATAGAAACTTGTTTGCTAGTGTATTGAGTTTTCAAAAAAAAAAAAAAAAAAAGCACATTTCAAAATACACAGACAAACGGAATCGGGCGATGCGGTTTTCGTGTTCCGCTCTTTGGGCGGAAGACGCGCCGACAAACACGGTGTAAGTAGAAACGATTACTTTCTTAATTAAAGCTTCTGCTTAGTCCCCATTTGTCGTTGCCGACTTTCCTCAACTCGTCGTGATTGTCGACACCAAACTTTCCGGACTAGAATTGCCGAATTGTTTCTTGTTTGTGTCGTTGAAGGTGAGCGCCGTGGAATTTCACGCAGATTTTGAGGATGTTTATATTCATATGATTGAGGACAATCATTTTTTGGAGGACATACGGCATCCCGATTATTGCTGAGCATGATGACATGTCTTGCCTGCCGAAATGGCTTGCTGAAACTTTGTGTACTACTTCCTGGTGAGCGGTCTTACTTTGTTCAGTCCTCAAACATGGCGTATCCATCCTGATGCAAAGACATAGATGGGCCTTAGCATCTTAAAGCATCATATTGCGCACCAGGTTTTCGTGAGCAAAACCAGCCACAGCAAATTCTCTTTTGCGACACAACTGCCAGCAAGCAAGCCACACGCACGAGTAGGGTGACCATATTCCTCAAGGTAGAAAACGGGACATCCCAGCGGGGGACGGGGGTCGGCACATATTAAAGATTGGGATTGGAAGACAACCTTTAACGAAATGACTGCTCTTATTTCAAAACGTTACCATATTGCACTAAATTTTACTCTCTGGGTAAATATTTTAAAGTACCTACGGTTATTTTTGTGATGTATACTTGTAACTAGTAGGCATAGTTTCGGTTTGCTTCAACTCGCTTGGTGCGAATTTCGAAATTATACTCTCCTGCGAAAACGGGACATGATTCTTTATTGGGGCAAAAAGACGGGACGGCAGAAGAGGACCTCAAAAATGGGACTGTCCCGGCCAAAACGGGACGTCTGGTCACCCTAACAACGAGCTGTCGAGGGATGGGAACGAGTAGGAAGCCCAGGTGGCCACCAAGGCCTTCTCCTAAGGCCGAATGGCCAAACGAAACACGGGAGGATGACTTTGTCTCCAAGAGATGTTCCTCATTAAGACTGCTCGCAGCGCTTCAAGTTGACGACAAACAAAAACTTGTCTGTCGTCGATCGTTTGTCGTCGCTTGTCGGCATTTTTCAGAGCTGTTTGATGTTACAGTGAGACAACATCAGCGACACAGCACCTAGAGGTTCGTCAAGAATACCTGTTCAATTTCCATACAAGGACAGATTGTGACATGTAGAAGTCCCTGGTGCGGTGGAATATGCTTATGTTGGGTACTAATCTAAATGGTAAATTTGACATCAGCTATCACTGAGCCTGGTTGGAGGTAGACATTTTTTTAATTTCACTTGAGAAGCATTAGCGTAGTGTTTCACTGTGACGACTTCCTAGGACACAAATGCTGCAACACTTAGTGCTTCTTTGATCCAGCAGTGTTTTCTGCATCTTTTCGGCATATAATAAACATGCTTATTGTGTGCTTTAATTTTTTTCAGTGGATACAACTTCGAAATTATTGTCATCGACGATGGTAGCCCCGATAACACCCAGGAGGCAGCCCAACAGCTTCAGAAGATTTACGGAAATGACAAAATTGTGAGTTGGGTTTTCCAAACAGTTGTGTCAGCTTTTCTGTCGTACCCTTGCTCTCTGTCATGTGTGCACATACTTGCGGCACGAATAATGGCGTTATTCTACTGTGACGTCTCCCGCGCGCAAGCGAGCGCTTGCTGAAGTCAACTGCGCCATGCTGATTACGTCGCGCCCACCCGAAAGTGCTCCTGTCTACAGTTCAACCCGTCTTAACTTCTCCGAAGATGCACTGTCACCGCTGTGCATGTGCAAAACACTTCGACACTTCGTGCTCTTCTGCAGTGTGCCGCCATTTTCCACTTGCAACTGCTGTCCGGAAAGTGTGCGCGCATTGCATGCTAGGAGACTGGTCTGGCTGCTTTGGTGCGGCGCAAGTATGCCGATGAACTTATTGGAGAGGGTGCAGTGCCTGGCTCTGCATTTTATTTTTTTTTTACGGAGCTGTATTCCAGGACAAACCTTCCCTTACTTAAATATAGACAGAACAATAAAAGACAAACTTTCATTTATAATACAGAATGATATGCCTTTATTAACGAAAGTATGTCTAACGCCACATGAGTCGAGAATATCTAGAAATAAGCATAGTCACACTCTTCACCAGGACTGATGCATGAAAGATTGTTTTATGTATTCATTTTTTCCTTTTACGATCAGTAATTGGAATCAACTTTCCCAAATAGCTGTTTCTTGTCAGTCCTTTTTATTGTTTTGTGCGCATATAGGTTTGTACGATGATGCTTCACTTTATTTTTAGGCTCAAGTCGTGTTGCATCGGTTGTGTGCAGAGGTGTCAGAACTCTTTAGGATATTGGGGGGGGGGGGGGGGGGTGCAACGACAGTCGTGGTGGGGGCGACGGTGATTTTGTGCCCCCTCCCTCGTATTGTTTCCATTAAATTTCTGAACTGCCTGGGCGGGGGAAGGGGGGGGGGGGGGGGCAGTCGTCCCCTCCCCCCCGTGCCCACACCACGGTGTAAGATACACGCTTTAGGTGAGGACACGGCGGGGCTGAACGCGCAGTGCGAGGAATCGGATAGTGTTCGTTCGACGGGCATCCGAAAGGCTGCATTATTCCGCAGCCACCGTGCCCGCGGCTGACAGTGTCGCTGGCGGCCAAATGGCGAAACTGTGTGAGAGCAAAAACAATTATCTCATTGCCACGATACCCTGGTACACCGTGGTCTTTCTGCACGAGCGACAACCTCGCTGGAGCTCTGCGCGTGTGGAGCATGAGGCTGCACGAGCCATCTTTGCCCTGCCCACGGGTCGACAAGTCATCTGCCGGCGCCGCTTGAAACCATAGTGAGAGAGAAAGAGAAAGAGTGAAAAGCGAATATTATCTGCACTGCGTGAGGAGCGCGCTGTCCTCACCTGAAGAGTATTATCTTACACCGTGGCCCACACCACTGGTTCTGTGCCTCGCGCTACTGATATTTCTGTTGTTGAACTTGCTCCATGTAATGTTTCGTGCAGTGTCAAAAATTATATGACTGTTTTACTATTGTGGACATTCTGTCTACTGTTCTATTGTATATTACAGCGTCAGCTGTTAGTGGCCCATCCCCTGGTTTTTCGGCAACACGAGCGTAAACGAAAAGTTTCCCCACTAAATTTAGCAAAAATATTGACGTAACTTGACTTATGCAGTAATTCAGTTTCCCCGCTGAATGTAGAGGAAAAATTGACGTCACGTGACATATGCACCAATTCATAGCAAGTTTTTTCCACACACTGGCACCGTGCAAGTTTTCTCCTAGAATGCAACGCACTCGCGGAGTGTCGCACGGGGAATTGGTCCCGAATAAACTTGACGAGTGCAATTTATTGCAAACTGATCCTGCTGCCACCTATGTTGTAGCAAGAGTACCAACCTCAAACCGAAACTAGTGCCCCGATGTTCGACATTACAGGTGGGAACGCGGCATAGTGTTGTCACTGCAACTTTTATAGTTGCGATGATTAAGCCACTAGATTGTTGGAAGGTATTTATGGACAATGCATGTTTCCGTTACAGGCTGGAAACAAAACAACTGTAAGAACCGATGAAAGTCGCTCAATCTTTCGATTTGTATAACTCTTTACCCTAAAGAAAACACCATTAATACTAATCGAGCAGAAACTTGATCAGTTTTAAGTGTGAACATCTGAAATGATTCGGTTTCAAACTAGTTCACTGGAATCTTCAGCACTATGTTTCGTGGCACTATCAATTTCAATCCTTTGTTGCATACATCTGGGCCAGCTTTTATTCCCAATAGGAGGTGAGATTGAGAGCTTTCTCGAGTAAAAAACAAGGGTGCAAAATAACTGGTGTAGGTAAATGTTAAACATGGTGATTTTATCCAAGAAGCGGTTAGAATCACCATGTTTAGCTTTCTCGACTGCTAATTAGGACGTATCGGTTCTGCTGGTTGAGCTTTATCGACAATTGTCCACTCTTGAGTCCACAATGAGCCATATTTTGGCATTCAATTTTCACCCGTACATCCGTGACAGTGATCTCACGGCCGCTTATTACAATTGTCTTGAGCCCTTCATTACTCGTCTGTAGATTTCAGTGACTGTACAACAACAAAACTTGCAAAGGTATCGACTGTCGATTGTTTCCTTTATGAAATAGCAGAAAGCCATACTTCAAGCTTGAGTTCGATTTGGCCTCTCGCAGAACGCGATTTCTGGCAGAAAAATCTACTTTTCTTCCTGGTTCCCCATCGTGCAAACGGCAGCTCATATCAGACCAGTAGCAGACAAACTCCCGTCATCTGCTCTCGCAGCTTGCCTGAGCACTACTCGACGGAATTGCGTTCTGACGCATGCTAGTTTTTCTTGGTGCAGCGGGTACATGCACGCGTGGAGTGCCGGCGCCGGAACTAACTCGGAAAGTGCAGCTACTCGTAAAATGCTGACCGAAACGAACTGCTCCATGCTGCGAGCGGGCACGCGTCAGCACGAGTGCAGTGAAACGAACTCGCTATCAGCTTCCCCGCTAAATTTAGCAGAAAAATTATTGTCACGTGATGTATGCACCAATTCAATTTCCCCTCTAAATTTGGCAGAAAAACGCATCACAACCTCGAAATCATTTAATCATCGACAACGTAGCGACGCTAAATCAATGCAACGTCATTTGAATATCAAATCACCGTATGACGCACGATCGGCGCACTGTCAATCGATCGTCATTGTAGTATTGTTGAAGAAGCAGCACAGCTGACGCTGTCTAAACCCATTACCTCGTGTGATTGTCGCTGAGTTTTTTTTAATAACTCGGACCTATTATAGTTTTTATAGGACTGCAATACTTCGTGTCACCTTACGATGGACCACAAAGGACGCTATGAGCCACCGGAGCCAAATTTTAGCTCGGAGGCTGTCACGTGTCCTTCCAGTTGGGCGGAGCGACATGGGGAGCACGAAGTCGCGAGACAAGCTACAAACTATAGATTGGTATATGTAGCTCGTAGCGTCCATTGCGGTACATCGTAGTGTGAAACGGAGTATAGTATGTGAAATAAATAATAAAAAATAAATTAATTTTGCTCCGGCGATGCCTGTGCACAGCAAATGCTGCCTGTCATGTCTGCTGCGTCAGGATGTTGGACTCTAGAGTGTCTGGTTGTTGCCAACGTAATGTTGCCACACGTGCCTGCACAATTTTTTGGTGTTTAGCCGCACAGTTCACAGACTTGCGACAGCTTTTGATTAAACGTCTTACAATCTCTTATGTTAATTTCCCTTTTATTTTCATGCAACATTTTTTTTTTTTTCTGGCCCAAAAATCTTTTGACATTGTATGAACTACAGCTTTTTATAGTATGCTCGTTTGATCTCTCAGATACTGCTAAATCTTTACTCTAGCGAAAAGCAGTTCCAGGGCCGTCATATGGATAGCGCCAGCATGCCTGTGTGTTCTCTAGTCATAAGTGATCGCAAAAACTCGGTCGTAAGTAGGCTCAAGGGTGTGAACCCTTGCGTCTACCCTTGCGCCTTAAGAAACGACAATGACAACGGCGAATTGAACGCTTTGGTCGGATCTGGCCCTGAGCTTCTCTGGGAAAGTCCCCCTTATAGATGCTATGTTGCTTTGCTAAGACTTGTGAAAAGTTTCTTACTTGCATTGTTTTTAAAAAAAAGAAGGCTTGACTCTATTTGTCATGCCCTTTAGGTGGGCTTCTGGCTTTTTAAGTTTATTATTATTCATTCATTCAATGCTTTATTTCCAAATTTGTTTTCAAAATACACAAAAACTGTTTGGACCCATAGCTGTTAAGGCTAGTCTGGGGTTATTATTTGGAGGTTGCTTTTTGGAGTTTATTTTGCACTGCAAATCTGCCACCTTCGGAAGCTTGACTTGAGGATTTATTTTTAGTAAATTTGATAAAACAAAGGGTGCCTTCGGGAAGTGGAGGGGAGAAGCTTCTTTGCGCAAACTTGAGGGTGAAAGGTAAGCTACAATGCACAATATGAGTGGAAGAAAGAGAGAAAAATACTGGCCTGTTTTTATACCGAGTGACTCCAGTGAATCTGGCTTGCGTCATTGACGGAGGTGAGGCATTCGGTGTTTCGAAGAGCCCATCTCAAGGCTTACAACTACAATAGTCAGATACAACATAAGAAGGACAGCGCGAGGGGGAAAAGGGCGGAAACTAGGAAAACTGAACTGGAAAGGAGCGACCTCCTTTCCACAACAGCTTTTCTCGTGCGCACCCTTTCCCCCTTGCGCTGTCTTTCTTACGTTGTATCTAACTATATAGTTTACGGGGTCAAATACCCAAGTTGAAATCTGATGATCCGCTAAATGGTTACCGTACATATGTTCCACTGACGACTCCATGTGAATGCAACTGACACAGTGTTTGTTGTTTAGATCTTATGATTGCAAACGAGAATGTTTGGTTGCCAATGCATACGGCTAGTGCATGAGAAAAATTGTCTCTTGTGAGGTCATCTTTAGTTTTGATGTAATAACCCTTATGCGAGGTGAAAAAAGGACGGACACACACGTGAATTTTTTTAGTTTTGTGTTTGTCTGTACCTTGTTCCCCTTGCTCCAGGCTTACTGTGTTAACTTTAAACCAGCTCACCTGCACTTTCGCTTTAGGTCCCCAATTCTCATTTCAACCTTGACTCGTCTTCAAGCTTTTGCGCAAGTGCGTCTGACCCAATACGTCTATTAAGTTTCCTGAAATGGTGCATCTTTGAAGACCCTTCTGTATCCACGAACAAGCTTGCTTCATCGATTGCATAGGCATCAGAACAAGAACAATGATTATTGGGAGTTATGCTCATTAGTACAAAAACTTGTAAAAACAAGCTTGTCGACAGAAACACAGAAATGCCAAGCTTAAATGCATGTTTGTACACTTTTGTGTGAACACCATGAACACAATGTTAGGACTGCACTAAACAGTGCACCATGTGAATGCAGTTTATTGCTTTAGCATTTTGGCTTTATCATGGGACACATTTTGATCGTACATGAGGCAAGTGGAAAGTAGGGAATGGAGACCATGACTGCTGGAACATTTCCCTAGGGTACAAGTGACAGGGTTCGCACGAAAAAATTGGGTTGTGTGTATGTTTATACAGCCTAGAACTTGGTCTGCCTCAACGGGCGACGAACCTCCCAGCTGCAGATGAGAAATTTAGTCAGTGCAGTACAATAGCTAGCCTGGGGTCTTTAACGTGCACCACGCAGTAGTGATACATGACTGCACGCCGGTGCGATGCTTATCCAGATCGAAACGGGCAGGGGTGGGGATTGAGCCCAGATCCTGGGTTCTGCAGCGCGAGCTTTCGCTCCACGTGCTCCAAGCTGTTGTGCGCTAGCCCACTTGGCCACCGATCCCCCCATGGTTTGTACTTGTCCTTGAAAACCCTTGAGTTTTAAAACAGCATTTTCGAGTCCTTGAAAGCCCTGGAATTTCTAGCAATGCTTGGAAACCCCTAGTTTTTTTGTTTTTTTTTGTTGCAATAATTACATTTATTTACAATATTAAACTATAATTTTTTTTACATGAATGTTCACATAAATTTCAAAATTTCAATGAGGAAGTTTTTTTATAGGGCACATTTAGACTCATTTAGCGGATGCCTGTTAAGCACCTGGCCACAGTGGTAACAGTCCCGGTGGATTTGGATCCGGTCTCGTCCGTCCGCAATATTGGGATCTTGCCCCTCGTTCGCCTTGTTCTCTCGCATATTGTTTGCTAGCTATTCCTGTCTTGCTTATTCCGTGCCTGTATTTTTGCTATGCATGGTGAACATGGTTTAAATTGTGCGCGATGCCCGGGAGGTGTAACTACAGACACAGAGAAAGCAGAGGCAACAGGTGACATCACTTACATTGTCAAGTCGAACAGCCTACGGAAAACGGCGAAAACGAAGATGTAAGAACTTCTAAACATCAATCAGGAAATCAAGGAAAGGCTGCTGTAGCTCTACTGAACCCCTTACTAGCACCTCTTTGGCAAATGCGCCTTTTCCTAGGTCTCATGCCGTAAAGAATTTTCGCAGTGCATTTCAAAAAGTTGTCGTATTATAAAGTTACTGATGGAGTATTGGAAGGGGTTCTTGAAAATATTTTTACAGGTTCTTAAAAGTCCTTGAAAGCCCTTGAATTTTTTTTCTTTGAAGCCTGTACAAACTAGTGATGGGTCGAATCTGCCAAACTTCATATTAGGCAAAGTGCGGCACATGCCATACTTTTGAAAAAAAGTTCGGCAAAGCTTCGACAAAAATTTGGCAAATGTCTGCACACTCGCGAGAATGTGACGAGGCCATGGATTGCAAATGGACAACGTGTGGTTCTGCAGTTACCATTATACAATGTAGTACAACCAGCCGTTATGGTGAGGTGTGGAGCAGGCAACATGGTAACTGTGCATTTGTGAGCCTTCGCAAGTGTGGTTGTCCTCCAATATTTCCTGCCGAACAGAAGATCGACCAGTAATTTACGCAGTCCACTGCACAAGGGACAAATGATGCGGTACATTCTGGATAACGTGATTCTCGTTTGACCTTCTTAGTGATGCAACGAGGTAGTTGAAACATTGACTGACAATTACTTTAAAGCACTTCTCGCAATTATAAATATCCTGTTTTCGGCTCATAAGTATTTGTGCCAAAACAAAATAATATTGCGTTTTAATTATCATTATTTTGCGATTTTCATGTGTCTGCATGAAACTGAACAGAACTATCATGCTCGACGTTGCACATCCGACATTCCTAACTCTTCCCATCTTCCTAAACGTCCGTGTGTGTCGTAACACCAGAAACCAGAAATTTAAAGGTTAAAAACGAGACGTTGCAAATATGGGACATACGTTCATGCAAAGCTGACGTCAAGTGACTCAAATCTAAATACACGCATATTTACAAGAATATTGTTATCTCTTCTGGTGAAGGCTCGGCAACCGTTGCATTCATTTTCGTGTATGAAACGGTGGCTCCCAGAGAAAGTAAGAATGCAGTGTTATTGCCTATATTTTAATAATGTACGCACACTTGCAGGCTTGCGCTGCTGAGGCCTCAAAACCAAAACTCTCGTAGTGTGATTCGCAACGTTGGTGATTCGTGACTGCGCCCACTACTACCCAACCTCGTTGTCACGCCACTTCTGCAAGAAATCGCTGTAAAATTGCTAGTAAACACACAGAAACGACACCAATACAATTATCTTGTACAATATCACCTTGTTTAATAATAACTGTGTCAATACGCATTACATGTTGTATTTAGGTTAAGAAAAAAACAACAAAAAAAAACAACCTTTTTTCGCTAGTAAAATTAAAATATCAACGTTAATTATGTTAAGAATGTATTTTTGCTGAATCTTTAGAAAAGTTCGGCAAAAGTTCGGCTTTGCCGAATCCCAAGATTCGGCCAAAGTTTGGCCCATCACTAGTACAAACCCTGAGTGAGCCCCGCAGCGATTTTGTTGGTTCTTAGCTAAGGTTTTAGTGTGTTGCAGGGCAAAAGGCAGTGTATCTTTCAGTTGTACTGAACTTTTTTATGAGGAGTTTTCTTCATCAACTTTGCCGCTAATGATATGTGAGCCCGTCAACGTGGTTTGTACAAGACTTCTAAATGGCATTTGAACTCAAACCAGAGCTGTTTAAGAATCTTGGCATGCAAACTTTTGTGTCCAGCGACTGTATCAGAAGATAATGAGTAGGTCACGGGGTGCGCAGAGACGCAGTCGTTCGTTTGTATGCTCATCTCGTCTCGTTAATAAGGTATGCGACATAGTGGCGGCAGTGGGACCTATACTCATGCTCAGCAAGCTAATGCAGCTTGCTGTTATAACTGATTCGCTCCCACATGCCCAGCACAAAAGTGGACATGTTTCAGATTTCGTTTATTTAGGTTCCTGTTATGTTTTTTTTGTTTGTGCTTTATGTTTTGAGGAGGGAAAACTCTCATTTCGTGCTTCTTGTTTTGCAGGTGCTCAAACCTAGGGCCAAGAAGCTAGGACTTGGGACTGCCTACATTCATGGCCTGAAGAGCGCAACTGGCAACTTCATCATTATCCTCGATGCTGATCTCTCCCACCACGTATGTAACCCAGCGAGGTCTCCCTCCTTCCTCTGCTCTAGTCTCATCATATTCCCCTGTTAGTTGGGTTGTACAAATGCCCTGGTTTAGAGAGATACTGACACTCCCTCAACCTTTTTTTTAAATGTTTTTTGCCAGGTGATTTAATATGGTGTCGGGAGACTACCCAATCAACATTTTGCTGCAGAGTCATGTATATTTTTAATAAAGCCAAAGAACTCAACTGCTCCAAACCAAAACCGCAACACGAGTACGGAAGCTCGTGGTTGGAAATCACGTGGCTACACCCGCCTGCATTATTTTGCCCTCCGCTTCTCCGGTCTCTAAAGCAAACTTGGTGACGAACTTGCATGAATGTTTTGTTGAGCGATTGTTTTGCACTTATATCCCTTCCACTCAATGTTCTGCGCTTGAAGATCGATCGGCCGGTACCACGAACAACAGTTCCAAAGTAGCGGCCTCACCTCCGTTACAATGTTGGTCCGTCGTGCGCTGCCATCGCGTTGTCCAGTCCGCGGTATGTCGCCATATTGAGAATGACGTGTGCATGCACTTCGTGTGATCTGTGCAACATCTCCTTTTATTTTTTTCTATCAACGTATTTGCAGTTTTTTGGAGGCTACAAAAAATGGGGTTCATATTTTTTTCTATTTTTAATATTGAATGTGTGCCTTAGATAACCCACGACTTTGAGTATATTTGGTACACATAGTTCCACGCGACCATAAAAACAAGAGTGAGCATGACTGAAACCGGCCAATTCGCGACCGGCTGTTTTCAGGCAGAAAGAAAAGAAGTTTCAAGCCGCAAATTGTGCTCAGTTGGGCTGTTATAGGTCATGTTCAAATAAAAACCTAGGTGAGCATAAATACCCTGCCAGTGCCCCTTTAATGGGCTGAAATGTGAGTTAAGAAAACCAATAGTAAATGCGTATTATCACTACTCTGGCATGGTTAGGGCAGAGCCGTATATTGGGAAAATCTGGCCAGCAGGCGTGGCGACGAAGGTGCTGGAGAGGAGAAAAGTGAAAGATAGGGGTAAGGGCATTAAAGGAGCAAGAGAGGAAGGAGGGAGCAAAGAGGAAACTACCATCACTTTGACACAACACACTTTGACACCGAGCACTGTTGAGGATATGCGTCATCTGCTACGGGCCGACTTCTTTTTCGCCTGAATGAAAGTTTGTGGTCAAACATACATAATTTGTTGGCTTTTTAACCCACTGAGGAATAGCACTGTATCATTTTCTTGTTGGAGCCAGCAAAATAAGAGGAAAGAAGCTATATTTGAATGTCGATTCCGTGCATTCCACCTAGCAAATGAATGAAGATGGTGGCCCTCCCTGCACGGCTAGAAATAGCCGGGAGTTCACCAGCGTGCGCTCACGGCTCACACTCTGCACCGCGGGCTGATTGGCTTACTCGGGAGGGGGGCGTTACGGTGGCGATAGCATAAACTGGCCAAGTTCTTCCAATACAGTTGAACCTCGATTTTACGAAACCCGATTTTACGAATTTCCCGATTCAACGCACAAATTTGGATTCCCTGCACAGCCTGTCGAGGTCTCCCTTCCTCGATTTTACGAAGTTCCTGATTTGACGAAATAATTGGCAGGTCCCGGTGAGTTCGTTAAATCGAGGTTCAACTGTATATCGCTCTGGGTTAAGGGTAACGCTAACATGACCAAAATATGTTAATGTACGATAAATGATTTTGTAGACATTATTTGGTACATATATAATTTGTAGATAAATTAACTAAAGCACTGCATTCATTCTGCCTTGATTTGACTAAGGCAAGTACTTTCAGATTGGCAATTTAGTTACTTGCACTATGGACCAATCTCAGTTTCGGGCTGCTATGTACCGCAAGCTGAAACTTCTACCATAGTCCAGACTTCTTTTATCCCTCTATTATGAGCTGTTTTTCTTTCTCAGCAATACATACATTTTTTTGCTAAAAGTAAATGTAGCCAACAAGAATCCCTCTTTATCTTTAGTCAATGAAGCGACGACAAAAGATGCAACTGTACTGTGGATCTGCTCAAATTACAGTTGCTTTTAACCTCGAAAGGAAAAAAAAAAAAAAAGAATGAATTATTCAGTTTTAATCTCATGTAGTTGCGTGGATAAGGGGAAAATATACATTTCTCCCTGAACCATTTCTGCAAAAGTTTGCCATAGTCGATAAACAGACGAATAAATGGTCGGATTGGCTATTATATTTTACACATACTTGCAAAATTTGACTGGAAAGTGTGGTCGTAAATCAGAAATGTCGTATTATCATAAGTTGATTATGTACAAGGAGAAATGGTTAAATTTAAATTCTGTGGGGAGTGGTGATATCTAGAGTAAGTTTGCCTGGATGTTGTTTTTTTTTCCAGCCCAAGTTCATTCCAAAGTTCATAGAGAAGCAGAAGGAGGGAGACTTCGACATTGTCTCGGGAACGCGCTACGATGGAGAAGGCGGCGTTTTCGGCTGGGACTTTAAGAGGAAGCTTATCAGGTAAATTGTGCTACTGGCTACATTGTTCCACTGTTTACTAGAAAGGGTGAACTGATTTTTCTGCCAATACAGCCTATTGGTGAAAATGATCAGAATATGCCGTCTCTTCTCGCGTATATTCTGCACCAAATTTTATAGAAAATGAGAGGAAAAGTAGGGGTGTGGGTTATATGCGAACTTTGGCGGTCAGTGCGGCTTTACAGCAATGCTCGCAAAGTTGTAGGGATAGACTCCCTAGAGTCCCTCTTCTCCAGTCTCTCCTAGGGGCTTCCCCCCCTTCTCCTCCTTTTTTTTGGGTAGCCATCTTTGCCTTGTTTTTGCGTGCTCCGAGACGTTGATCACCATTCTGCACTGTCGTCAAATCCGTTATCGAAAAGATGGAAACTAAGCTACAGGCCGAAACTATGATCGCTACGACGTTGGCTATAGGTAGGGTGTGTACTTTCCGGTGTTTATTTGTGAGAAAAATCGGCGGATGTTTTTCGGTGTTTATTTATTTTCAAAACACCGGTGTATTTCGGTGGAACGTCTCACGACGAGGCTAAAATCGGTGAATATCGGTGAAAAAAAAGCGATTGATCACAGAAAGAGAGTTCCAATTTTATTCACATAGTTCATACACTTCTTCTCTAGGAAGCAACTATTTCTAACACTTGGTTATTATAGTAGATGCAAGCATACTTTTATCGAGAAAAGAGTCAAAGTACAGGCTAGCTGGTGGAAGTCAATCATTTCGTCGTTTACCCTGAGACTGGGGTTTTTTTGAAGAGCAGAAGTAACAGCCTGTTACTTCTGAGACCTGTCTGTTTTTTCTGTTACTTCTGCTCTTCAAAAAAAAAACCCCAGTCTCAGGGTAAACGACGAAATGGTCATACTTTTATGCTTGCATCTACACGCAAGGAACGTGCTGCCTTCATCGCACCACCTTCCTTGCGGTTCGCTACCCGCAATTATGAAAACGCACGCTCCTGTACGACACGGACGTTGGCAGTGTCTTCCAGGAACCACAGCAACCTCTGAATACATGGCTTGCACCGACATCACTTGGCCAGACACAATGAGGAAAAGGCACGTGAGAGCCTACCCTCCCCTGTGTTAATTTTTCCACAAAAGGGGGCCATGGGAGACACAATAGGGGAAAGGCATATGAGAGCTTAGTGTCCACTGCGTTCACTAGACGCTTTTGACCCCCAGAAAGGAGGGCGGACTGACGCCACCTGCAAGCCATGTATAAACACTGGAAGAATGCAGGATCCACGAGATAACGCGTTTGACGAACCTCTACGGGGAAAGGGTTTCGCTAGGTCGGAAACTAGCAACGACCGGTGTTTTTCGGTTTTAACCAGGGCGAAAATATCCAACCACCGGTGTTTTTCGGTTTTAACCGATTTTATATTTTCGTCACCGACGGATGTTTATCGGTGTTTCTCGGTTAAAACCGGAAAATGCACACCCTAGCTATAGGTACTGAGGGGGCAAGAATTCATTGCACGCGAAGTTGTATTGAAAGATTCCCCAGAGGCGTGTATTAAATGCAAGAAGCACGTGCTGGAGGTGGAGCTTCCGCCGAATTCTTAGCCCGTCACCTACAATAGTCATGCGTGCGAGAATGGAGGAAGAATGAGAACTTGCAAACTGCAAGCCGCGACGGAGAATCGTTTCGCGGTCCAAAGACTGGTGCATACCCTGAACTTGAAAAACCGCATGCAAAGTTCATCGAGGAGAGAAGAGGTTGTGGTAACGCCGTATCTATGGAGCTCTGGCATTACCGCAACTTTTCTAGATGAGGTGGTGCTGAACAGTTTAAAAAATTGCCGCGCATTAGCAGTCGCATCGACGGCATAAATGACGACGCTGTCTGCGACAATGAAGGCGCCAGCAACGAGCATGTTCAAAATAAAGGTGTGTTGTCTAGCAAGACCTGGACATTACTTTGAGTGGCTAGTGCAAGTAATATGCGAGGCATTCTTTTTTTTGGAGTAGTAATTTAACGAGATGCTGAACTGAAATTTGAATTTCGCAAAATAAGGCAGCAGAAGAATTAGACGGGACACTACAAACTCCAAAACATCACATATACATTAATATCTCAAATTGATGGCAGTATTTTTGGAAAAAAAAAAGGTGCAATCCTCCTGGAGCAGTTGATAATGAGGGGAAACAACCTTTTTTCTCTTCTCCTTGCTTCTGTTCACCAGCTCAAGGGGACGAAGCAAAGAGAATAGGGAATGAGAATCATGACGTCACATGCCTTGTCGGCCGTGTTCAATCGCGCACTTCTTTTCTAAAAATACGGCCATTTGTTTGTGTTATTGCTGTAAGAGTGATGTTTTTGGGTTTTGCAGCGTCCCGTCTGTCGCTCCAGCCTTGTTTTGTGCACTCCAAATTTTGTTTCTGTATCCCTTTAAAGGTGCAGGTTGTATGCAAGGGCGTGTCATAAACGTGACGATACGGTATATATGCTGGTCACAGCATTTCAATCAATTCAGGCAAAATTACTGCACACACTAAATAAAAATTGCATAAAGTGAAAAAGAAAAAAAAAAATTATCAAGAGGTATATGTTTTGTTTTTTATGTTGCTCCTTTTTAGTCGTGGTGCCAACTTTCTGACCCAGCTGCTGTTGCGCCCTGGTGCTTCCGACCTCACGGGAAGTTTTCGGTAGGTCGCGTTTCTTCCTCGAGTTGTACGCCACCCGCCTCAAGAGGCTTTGCTCTTTGCTCTTTCTCGTGGGGACCTTTTGCCGTCCCCCCCCCCCCCCCCCCTTCCTCATCCGGGAACTACTTGTTTTCGGTGATGACCACAACCGTTAGGAGAGAAGGAATTGGTAGATTCCCAAGTTTGGGAAGGGGGGGATGCCTTCGTGGATGCAATAGAAAACAGTCAGGTCAGAAGGGTCTTCCTTTGTTCGCTCTGGACTTTGCTCTTGCGACGGTGTTGACAAGGTGAGCCTTTCCACCAGACATTGTCAACTCCAGGGTTTGGGGACAGTTTCTCGGTGTTTCTGTAAATTCCATTGGACAAAGTCCTATTGGGATACATGCTCCTCCTAATTAGAAAAGCGATGATTAGTGCGGTTGCCGTTCCACCCGTCATTAGCGCTGTCCTCGAGAGGAAGCCATGGTGTGTTGGAGTAAGTTTGCAGGTCTGCTGTCCCAATAGTTTCTCCCCGAAGGAGTACAGCCGACTGAACCAGCCAAATCTAGGAATCAATAAATCCATGATTGCAAAACTTCGACAAATTTAAGTGGCACATATACGCAATCCGTCAAGTTGTGGGCTCTCAAATGGAATTCCTAGGAACCCCGGAAATCCCCGGATTACCCTCGGGGGCTCCCCAAGCTCCCCAATTTCTTCGGCCATCCCTGCCCTAAGTAAAGTAAATTCTTATAGTAAATCCCTACCAGTCTCCGCAAATGCAAAGACCAGTAGGGATTTCTCTGCTGCCATTCAAGGCAGACGCAGGTTCCTCAAGGTCGAAAAGTTTGAGAACTCCTGCGTCGAGTTATTGCCGAAAGTCGACTCGCTCTTCCGAGGAACGTTTGAAATGGCTTTGTTCGCTTTTTAAATTCGCCCGATCCGGGCACTCCTCTCTGCTCTCGCTGCGGTGCCTGCCATTGTTCTTGCGCTGCTACAGGTTGTACAAGAAGGATGTCCTGCAGAAGCTGGTAGACAGCTGCACCTCCAAGGGCTACGTCTTCCAGATGGAGATGATCGCTCGGGCCAGGCAATTTGGCTGCACCATCGGAGAGGTGAGCTCGCCGGGAAGGTTCCCCAGTGCGAGAGAGCGACAATAGAAATACCAGCTATTTTGTTCGCTGATGAAAGGAGAACGGCAGGGAGGATTTTCGGCTGTCCCGTTCCTAGCGCAAGCTTTCTAACTACGACGGCACTTGGGCATCTCGTAAGATGCCAAAGGCAATGAGCCCATAGTTCGAAAATTGAAGAGGTGACTAGGTTAGCGTATTCGACGAGTGGACTTCAGCTGGTGTGACCAGGAACACTGAAATAGAAATACCTACCAGCTTCTTCTCATTATTGAGTTTTTTCTTTTCCACGACATTGTTAATGGCCAATGCAAAATTAAACTAGTCTAACCATGAGAACCAAGCACAACAGAGACATGGGTGTCTGCCTGGGAAATGGATAGAAACATAAACAGGCCGTTGGAGAGCCCGAAGCCTCTCAAGCCTCATCAAGGGTCATGCCCGTCTTGTCAAGAAACGAGTGCAGAGATGCAAAGAGCTGAAGAAGATGGGGAGCGGGGCACAGGGAAGTGGGCAGCTGTGGCCAGGTGGTTCAACGCAACATGTGGGTCGCTTCGGGTGGCACTTTGTGGACGTAACAGGCCTTCGTGAATGTGACAGTCGGGAAAATGTATCGAGGGAATCTATCAGTGAGGCTCGTTTTATATCTTTACTGTAAAACGGGGTTTTAAAAACACTTGATTTGTCAGCATGGTCTTGCTGTTTCAATGTTGTTATTTTTGGGATTCTCAAAATAAAACTACCTTTTAGCAAATGTTTAGAGAGAGAGAAAATATTGGAAAATTTTAGCACTTTTTGTATTCCAAGTGGTGAAAAAGAACCTTGCAATGCAGGCTGAAATTTTATCATCTATGTATGCATAAATTTTTGATTATGTGCTTCCACCAATAACACTGCCACGTTTGTACTAGAAAATTACCATTGGGTAGTACAAGTGCAGCGGAGTTAGTCGTGAACAGTTAATCAAAATCATCTATCACACTCAGACAAACACATTCTGGTTGGGATGTTGTGGCACTTTGTTACAATTTTTTTATTTAAATTGTGTTTTAGAAATGAGGAAATCTATTTGATTTCCACTTATAAGGTGGATTCCTGTGGCACACTTCTGGCCTGAAATGTCACCGAATGCCGTGTCCATGAACCTTCGCCATATATTTTTCTATGCATGGAGGCGGTGTTTTTCAGCTCGGTCGTGTTTTTTGTGCAAAGAAGCATCATCCTGCACTGAAACTGTATACATAGGGTCTTCATTAGGACTTGAGATGAGTCGACGATTGGGAAGTCGACTCGTCGGCAGCAAGAAAGACCGTTGTAGATGTTGCTAGGGCGGCTCTGAAAGGAAACAAATTGGAACAAGCTTGGATTTATGTGGCCCAAATATGTCTTCTCTGGTCATACCTATTGAGTTCTCTTGTTGACAAAGCCACTTGCCATGCTTTAGCATTCCATCATGTAAACAAGTGGTGAAAGTGGCAGAGACTGTTTGTCAACACGGCGGAACGCTGCTTACGAGAAGGGAAATGGTGTTTTGTGGAACTGCCTTATTATAAAAATTGGAAAAAGAGAAAGACTGGAACAGGCAGACGAAAATGTCTTCACCCATCCCCGCTGAAACTTTTGTGCGTCGATGTGCTCGTCGTCACCTCAAGAAAGAAAAGCTGTATTTGCACATTGTTCATGTATGCTGCATGAAGTACTACTAGTTCTTGCAAGATTTGATTGTAGAAGAAAGACTAAGCTTTTTTCATTTGAAATGTATGTTGTGATAACATAAGAAATAACAGATCTTAAGCACACGTACAAGTGCCTTAATTCATCAGATAGAGGGGGAAATTAGGTTATTAAGATTAAACGACTAAAGCAGAAGTTTTTTGCTAGTTGGTATTTCATTATTAAAAATTAAAACAGCGCAAGGACACGGACAAGAACAAGAAGGTAGACAATCAAAGTGCTGACTTACAACTAAAGTGATTGATGTCTATGGCATCACTTGCTTCGTTAGTCTTCGACACTGATAGCAGCACCGATGAGAGTGATTGTTATCAAAAGATGCTGGGAGCTGGTCATTTACACTTTTACCCGCTCGCGACCAGCTCCAGCGACCACAACGAGATTGTTACAGACATACACGCCGTCGTCTGCGGCGATCTCGCAAGTGCATGCTGGGTAAAAGGTCAAAGGGCAAGGGGATGAGAGCAAGAGCATTATTTGGAGTAGCATGAGAGTGTGCGATAGTATTATGGCGAGTCGAGTACCGCGAGGCGAGCTGTCTAGAATGAGGGAGCGTTCAACTAAATATGGTGATCATGTGGTTTATGGGCATCATGGTGTGACTAGTAGCTTGAGCTGTGTTGCCTGGTTGCCAGATGAAAATTATCAATTTTTATAAATTGACTATTACAATTATTAGAGCTCTAAAAATCTCAAAACTTGGTCTATAACTTGGTCTATAGACTAAGCCTATGAGCATTCCATTTCAAGAATGATTTACCCATTTAAATATTGTGTCCCCACACCTTTAAGCCCCATTTTCATGAGGGTGGAAAGACAGACCCACTCCCAGTACTCTTAATTATGGCTGATTCAGACATCTGCATCCTAATACGACCGACTGCATTATGACTTTTTGTGTTCCATTGCAACGCAGTTTATGAACTTTTGCAGCCATAGAACCTTGTCCTAATCATTCATAAGCTGTCATGACGCGGTCGATCGCACTCAAGTGCAAGTGTCTAAACCAACATTTAATTATGTTGTGAGCTGCTGTACTTAGAAGCTAATGCATTGTTCATGAAATTGCTGCCTCTTGTTGAGCGCAATAACATGGGCTACTTCTGTTCGGGCCATATTGACGAGCTGAAGATATGTGAAATTTTGCTGCGTGCTTATGAGTGCTACTGCCACTGAATGTATCACTAATGTCTATTGCAGGTTCCCATCAGCTTTGTGGATCGATTCTATGGCGAGTCCAAGATGGGGGGCAATGAGATCTTCCAGTTTGCCAAGGGATTATTCTACCTTTTTGCTACTACGTGACACTGGCTTTCTGGTTCCTGAGGCGTTGAACACTGCTTTATAGCTTCTGTGGATCATTGCACTCAGCAAATGTTGGGACTGCAGACTGCCAAAAAATAAAGCACTGAAGACTTCACCCACATAATGTTTAACTATATTTGACCTCATCTGCAGCCTAAGAGCCATGCATATATAAACTGAATTGGGGTCATGGCGATGATCATCAGAGCGGTGGTGATAATACTAATAAACAATTAGACTTCATTGTCAGTGGTTGTAGGAGCATCTTCCACAACTACCCTCAAGTTTTGTGTGCTTCCCCAGACGAGTAATTGTGTTAAAAAAAAAAAATATATATTGGGTTGTGTGTATGTTTACTTTATACAGCCCAGAACTTGGTCTGCCTCAAGGGGCGACGAGTCTCCCAGCTGTAGATGAGCAATTTAGCCAGTTCAGTACAAGCGCTAGCCTGGGGGTCATTAACGTGCACCACGCAGTAGTGATACACGACCGCACGTTGTTACGATGCTCATCCCGATTGAAACGGGCAGGGGTGGGGATTGAACCCAGGATCCCTGGGTTTTGCAGCGCGAGCTTTCGCTCCACGTGCCCCGAGCTGGTGTGCGCTAGACCACTCGGCCACCGATTTTTTTTTCTTTATTGCCGGATTTTTTACATTGTCAAATAGGCAGGCATATCGTTCAAACCATAGGAAGCAGGGCAAGGCTAAACTAAACCAGTCCGAAGTGACTGGCGTCGGAGGCTAAAACTGTTTCATGGACAACAGTGCCTCAATGCGCGGAAGCCACTCAGGCTCGCACTTCTGTGCTCTGTTGACTTCAACTAACAAAGATACACTTTCACGAAAATATTCCCGCGCCTCCCGTACATTATTGTCAGCGTTGTGTACAGCCATTCTAGACTTCCAAATACTGTGCAGACCCAACAGCATAACCAGGTCAAAGGGAAAACCTTCCTCGTTTTTAACCGATAGATAACGGATTCCATGCGCATCCAGGGGGAGGTCCTTTTTCAGGGTACGTTGGAGGACGTCCCAGAAGAAGACCCCATCCCGGCACTCAAGAAACACGGGTTCGACCGTCTCTGGCTTCTTGCATAAAAAGCAGTGATCCCCCCACGGTACAAAAAGTCCCCTCTCGTTTAGCCATGTCTTGACCGGCAGTGTACCTGAATGTAATGTAAAGATGAAAGTCTTGGTGCCTGCGGGCAGCACCATACGCTTAACGCGCTTCAAGACATCTTGCCCTGGGCCTGCACAGTATAAGGCTCTGTATAGAGGTACAGGAAACACAGTATCGCACACAGCCTTATACAATCTTTTCCGAGGAACCTCACTCAAATACTCAACTGACAAACGAGATAACAGAAATTTACATGAGGCAACGACTTCCTTTAAATATCCATGAATACCACCCGACATCGATGACGTGGAAACAATCAACTCGGGCAACCTGCTTGCAACTCTCACTTGACAAACTGTGCGCAAAAAGGGGTCACTTATGTCCCGAAAATACATGAACCGATTAACAACCTGACGTAAAAACAAATGCGTCAAACTAAGCCCCCCATTGAGTACGCGCCGGAAAAGATTCGTCCTACTCGATCGCTCCCACGTGGAACCCCAAATAAACACTGCAAATACCCGGTGCAATTTCTGCACATTTACCCGCGAACAGTGCAAAACTTGTAGAACGTACCACAGTTTGCTGACAAAAAACAAATTGCAAACTGTGGCCCGTGCAAAAATAGACAGATCATACCTCCGACTTTTTTCTACTCTTTCGCGAAGCTCCACCACCCGCCGTCGCCAATAGGGTTCGCTATCGCGATAATTTTCTAGAGGCACTCCTAAATATTTTACGGGGGTGGTCACCCACTGCATGTTGGCAAACGAACAAGGAGTAGAGCTCCACTCTCCATGCCAAAATCCCAGGCACTTGGCCCAGTTAACAGAGCTGCCACTGACTTCGCAATAACGTTTAAGCGTGTGAACGACTTCTATGTCGGATTCTATGTAAATGCAAAAAAGAAGTGGTGACAAAGGACACCCTTGGCGGACGGATCGATTCACTTTTATACGTTTTCCAACCGACTTGTTCACCGTAAGTCTCGTCGAGCAACCGTTGTACGCCATGCTGACACCTTCACGGATAACAGCGCCGACGTTTACAGGATCGAGAATGGTTAAAAGCAGGTCGTGAGGCCAGGGCCGTACCCAAAAAAAATTTCGGCGGGGGGGGTTTTCGGGGACAACGGCGGCCATTTTGAAAGTGTCTATTGTCTTATTTTCGCCTATGAATCATGTGCATCGGTGGCATACAATGCAGAGTTACAGCAAACCGGAGAACCGGTCCAGGTTTGGTACCCGGTAGCCGACCGGTGCCACTGCGCGTGCGCAGAGGTGGAGATTAAAATCGGCTGGCCGCCAGTTCACCGACCAGGGTCGTACCCAGAAAAAAATCTCGGGGGGGGGGGGGGGGGGGGGGGGGGGGGTCAGAACCCCCTATTTTTGGCAGACTGCCAAAAAATAAAGCACTGAAGACTTCACCCACATAATGTTTAATTATATTTGACCTCATCTGCAGCCTAAGAGCCATGCATATATAAACTGAATTGGGGTCATGGCGATGATCATCAGAGCGGTGGTGATAATACTAATAAACAATTAGACTTCATTGTCAGTGGTTGTAGGAGCATCTTCCACAACTACCCTCAAGTTTTGCGTGCTTCCCCAGACGAGTAATTGTGTTAAAAAAAAAAAAAAAAATTGGGTTGTGTGTATGTTTACTTTATACAGCCCAGAACTTGGTCTGCCTCAAGGGGCGACGAGTCTCCCAGCTGTAGATGAGCAATTTAGCCAGTTCAGTACAAGCGCTAGCCTGGGGGTCATTAACGCGCACCACGCAGTAGTGATACACGACCGCACGTTGTTACGATGCTCATCCCGATCGAAACGGGCAGGGGTGGGGATTGAACCCAGGATCCCTGGGTTTTGCAGCGCGAGCTTTCGCTCCACGTGCCCCGAGCTGGTGTGCGCTAGACCACTCGGCCACCGATTTTTTTTTCTTTATTGCCGGATTTTTTACATTGTCAAATAGGCAGGCATATCGCTCAAACCATAGGAAGCAGGGCAAGGCTAAACTAAACCAGTCCGAAGTGACTGGCGTCGGAGGCTAAAATTGTTTCATGGACAACAGTGCCTCAATGCGCGGAAGCCACTCAGGCTCGCACTTCTGTGCTCTGTTGACTTCAACTAACAAAGATACACTTTCACGAAAATATTCCCGCGCCTCCCGTACATTATTGTCAGCGTTGTGTACAGCCATTCTAGACTTCCAAATACTGTGCAGACCCAACAGCATAACCAGGTCAAAGGGAAAACCTTCCTCGTTTTTAACCGATAGATAACGGATTCCATGCGCATCCAGGGGGAGGTCCTTTTTCAGGGTACGTTGGAGGACGTCCCAGAAGAAGACCCCATCCCGGCACTCAAGAAACACGTGTTCGACCGTCTCTGGCTTCTTGCATAAAAAGCAGTGATCCCCCCACGGTACAAAAAGTCCCCTCTCGTTTAGCCATGTCTTGACCGGCAGTGTACCTGAATGTAATGTAAAGATGAAAGTCTTGGTGCCTGCGGGCAGCACCATACGCTTAACGCGCTTCAAGACATCTTGCCCTGGGCCTGCACAGTATAAGGCTCTGTATAGAGGTACAGGAAACACAGTATCGCACACAGCCTTATACAATCTTTTCCGAGGAACCTCACTCAAATACTCAACTGACAAACGAGATAACAGAAATTTACATGAGGCAACGACTTCCTTTAAATATCCATGAATACCACCCGACATCGATGACGTGGAAACAATCAACTCGGGCAACCTGCTTGCAACTCTCACTTGACAAACGGTGCGCAAAAAGGGGTCACTTATGTCCCGAAAATACATGAACCGATTAACAACCTGACGTAAAAACAAATGCGTCAAACTAAGCCCCCCATTGAGTACGCGCCGGAAAAGATTCGTCCTACTCGATCGCTCCCACGTGGAACCCCAAATAAACACTGCAAATACCCGGTGCAATTTCTGCACATTTACCCGCGAACAGTGCAAAACTTGTAGAACGTACCACAGTTTGCTGACAAAAAACAAATTGCAAACTGTGGCCCGTGCAAAAATAGACAGATCATACCTCCGACTTTTTTCTACTCTTTCGCGAAGCTCCACCACCCGCCGTCGCCAATAGGGTTCGCTATCGCGATAATTTTCTAGAGGCACTCCTAAATATTTTACGGGGGTGGTCACCCACTGCATGTTGGCAAACGAACAAGGAGTAGAGCTCCACTCTCCATGCCAAAATCCCAGGCACTTGGCCCAGTTAACAGAGCTGCCACTGACTTCGCAATAACGTTTAAGCGTGTGAACGACTTCTATGTCGGATTCTATGTAAATGCAAAAAAGAAGTGGTGACAAAGGACACCCTTGGCGGACGGATCGATTCACTTTTATACGTTTTCCAACCGACTTGTTCACCGTAAGTCTCGTCGAGCAACCGTTGTACGCCATGCTGACACCTTCACGGATAACAGCGCCGACGTTTACAGGATCGAGAATGGTTAAAAGCAGGTCGTGAGGCCAAGGCCGTACCCAAAAAAAATTTCGGCGGGGGGGTTTTCGGGGACAACGGCGGCCATTTTGAAAGTGTCTATTGTCTTATTTTCGCCTATGAATCATGTGCATCGGTGGCATGCAATGCAGAGTTACAGCAAACCGGAGAACCGGTCCAGGTTTGGTACCCGGTAGCCGACCGGTGCCACTGCGCGTGCGCAGAGGTGGAGATTAAAATCGGCTGGCCGCCAGTGCACTGACCAGGGTCGTACCCAGAAAAAAATCTCGGGGGGGGGGGGGGGGGGGGGGTCAGAACCCCCTAACCCCCCCCCCCCCCCCCCCGTGGTTACGGCCCTGCGTGAGCCACGCGATCAAAAGCCTTTTCCAAATCTACCTGGAGCATCGCAACGCAAGTACGCATTGCGTCGCAACACTCCAGAACACTGCGTGCTTTGTGGATGTTGGTGCAAATAGTCCTTCCTTTAATGCCGCAGGTTTGATGGGGCCCCACTAT